AAGTTATCAAACAATGAACCTTGACTATTCCATGATAATACCTTTAGCGTATAAAAAACCTCTGAATGAGGAGTAACAGTTGAAATTTTTAATTCTCGTCCATTCGTCGATCCAACGTCTTCCCTGGTAATAAAAAAGGTTCAATTTTCATTAGCTTATTGCTTATTAAATCAAACGTAAAGTTTTCTCCGTTTACTGTTAGACAATCAGCTCTCATATACGCATCTTTTCCAGTCTTCTTAGCCTCTTGATAGAAAGGAAAAAGACCTTTCCTCCTAAGTCTCGATCTCCAATATAAATCATCGAAAAACTTTACCCTAGAGCATCCTTCTCTCTTCTGAATATTATGAACATTCCGGTAAATTAGTTTTTTATCGGAGACAATGTCAAGTTTAGCCACCACCAATTTATTTTTTGAGATTATTTTAAGATCTTTTATCAAAATTGAGTCACCACTAGGTCTTTTAATAGATGACAAAATGTCAGAAGCCAAGGACAAGATTTCAGACGAGTTTCCCTCTAAACCAGCAATAACAATATTATTTCTCTGACGTTCATTTATCGATGAATCTAAAAGATATAAGAAATAGGAGGTCGAAGCAGTAAATGAGGTATTTAAATTAGAAATTTCCTCCACCTTCTTCTCTACATTGAGAAGACGTTGTTCAAAATCTTTATGCAAATTTGCCAGCCATTCGAATTTAGTAGATAAATCTTCAAGTTTAGTCAAAATGGTATCAAATTTTTCCTCTAAAAAGGAAAATAAATTTTGGGGTACATTTGAAGAAGAACCCGAAGGAGGAAAAAACTTTTCCAATCGCTGAGATTTCAAAGTCGGTTCACTAGGAGATCTTTGACGTTTTCCAACAACTGATATGGACGACTTTGAAATAGGGGAGGAAGGTGGAGTACGAGACATCGGTCCAGGATTAGATTCAATACCTCCAATTACCAATAAAGCACGTAATAATAAATATATATCAAATTCTTTGATGAAACCAAGATAAATAATCAAACACTTTGTAAAAGCAAACATATCCAAAGCGCTATAATTCAACAAAAACAGCTCTCTCAAAAACTCACCAACACTGACGAACGTCGGAAGCGCCCCCGACACATAATTATATATATAAGAATAACATATTTAATTATCTAAAGCTATAAAAATCAAAGGCTACAAGAAGGGAATAATCCAAAACTATATCTATATCGCGACAGGATCTTTGGTCATCGATCAGTCGTCTAATTTCTAGCCTCTATAAGGCACAATATCGTCGAAGTTCAACTAGCCTAAGTTCAAAATATTACCACTTTCCACTTTATAATATTCTTTATTTATAGAAGCCTCGACACCGCTAGGCATCACCGAGGTGAAGTACATACATTAGTAACATTATTTACATTGGTTGTAATTGATACATAGTTTTACGCGTAAAATAATTCCAAGTTATTAGAGTTAACAAATAAATTTGGTATTTACATAGATTATTCACCGATAATTCTTTTGATCAATCATTAAAACCATACATATAATAAACAGTTAACAAAATTGCAATTGAAGAATTATCTAACTTAAAAATATGCCGCATACAGTAGCCATTCGAAAACTTCGCACCTACACGAAGACATGCTTCATGTTTACAACTGGTAAAGATGAAGTGTTTTCTGGAGGAGAGCTGTTTGTAGTACACTTTACCTTACCATAGTCCTTTTAAAATACATATTGACAAGTTTTTTAAATACTTCAGATAGTTTTTTATCATTTATTAGAACATTCAAGTTGTAAGGCCAGGAAATGTCCGTAGGCAGGAGAACGACGATGTTCTGGCGCATGTCATCTAACATGCGCCAGAACATTGTAAGTAAGAACACTGTAGTAAGTAGTGTTTGACACCGTCTGGAATGCCGCAAATTCACAGTTTTCTTTTGATGACTTGTTGAGTCTGTGGAGATAGCTCTGGAACCTACCATGCTGCGTATAGAGTTGCGTAATATTATGTCTCATTCGGGGGAAAGACGGCGTTACTGGGATACGCCGTAATTAGTCTAATACGAAACACGCGTTACGCAACAGAGACAATACGTAACATTACACGGGCAGGAGTGCAATTTATTAACGTCTATTTCTGTCCTGTCGATTTATTCCAATCTCCATATAAATTAATTTTATTCATCTCATTTGAATATAGGCCCTAATGCGATTGGAACGAGTCAATCCTATTATAGAAATACACCAGGCTGAGTTACGAAACACTTTTATACGCATTTTACAAGAGGGAATGCCTGTTATCCGCTTATTACGTAAGGAAGTCGATTTATTTTCAAGTGGTAATCAATACATTTACTACTCGCAGTACGGCGACGACCGCACATCCGCATTGTAATTTACCCACAGCCGAGTTTTCTTTCCATAATTAGTTTTTAATCGTTGCCGTCTTTCTGAGATTACAACATTTGACGTTTGTTCTAGCAGCCGTCTTTTGTCAAAATTTCGTCGTCGATAAAATCTAGAACCCGAAACGGTAAACGGAGCGAGTGTTTCCTTTCGAATCGGCAGGTGTTTCTTTACTTCCCGCAAATAATATAACTTTAGGTCGGTTCGTTTAACGTTATTCGAATCGGTCGAAATTCGTAATTCGATCTACGGGTACGAAATACTCCCCGCGAACTCTTCGGGCTAATTGGGATCGTAAGGCGAAACCGGCAGCATGGTCGAAAAGGGCCGAATTAACTTTCGTACAGTAGATATTTAATGCAGTGTTCCGCAACCGGTGTGCCATCACACGGTGAAGGACCGTGTGACGTGACGTGAACTTTTACGTATTCTGTTAATTTCAAATTTTATTTATATATTTTTATTACACTTGTTGTGTTTCTTATGTATGTATGCTGTATGTTGTTATGTATGTATGTTGTTGTGTTTCTTATGTTATCATTTTTATGTATTTCATTCTCTGCCGCAGCACTGATGAAATAAGATGATGTTTGTTTATTCTTTATTACAAGCCACCCATTTTTATGTATTCTAATAAATTATATGTAAAGAAAATTTGCTAACAGGTGTTGGTATATGTTTAATTACAATAATAATAGGTTAGTGGCATTATGTAATTCTATTAATAGTATCATATCATACGTTTTTGAGGAAAATAACATTTTGGTGTGCCGTGTTGAATCATGGGTGTGTCGCAAGTAGAAAAAGGTTGCGGAACACTGGCATAGAGTAATACAGATGAAATCATTGAACAAAATAATTTTATAAGTAGAAGCAGATTTAATTTTTGCTCTTGAGAAAATAGGCCAGATAGAACCTAGTGCCATTTTAGCTTTATGTATACTATGATTTTTAGCCTGTAAGAATTGTCCAGAAGATGAAAATAAAACTCCCAAGTATATGTAATTTTAAAGGTTTGTTGTTCAGAAACTATCTAGATGGAAAGAAAATAGAAAAGGTAAAAATGTTTGAGTACCTAAGAAGTTGGATAACTGAGGATAATAGATATAATTATGAAATTAAAAACAGAATAAAAAAGGCTAAAGCTTTTACACAAATATCCTCAGTATTAAGAAATAAAAATGTATGCAAAAAATTGAAACTAAAAATACTTAAAACAGTGATTTGGAATTGACTACACATAGATGCAAGTCATGGACAATAAACCAAGAAGCAGTTATTAGGATAAATTCCTTTGAGATGTGGTCTTAGAAGAATGGAAAGAATTAGTTGGATAGATAGAATAATCAATGAGAAGGTAATTAATAAATTTGGAATGGAAAGAAACCTGATGGTCAGCATTTAGAGAATAAAAACAGCATATGCTGAGTATATAATAAGAGAATCCTCATGGGAACTGATGAAAATTGCAGTTCAAGGAATGGTGGAGGACAGACAGAGAAAGGGAAGATCTAGGCTAGCATGGCAAAACAGCATAAAAAAATGGACTTGTTTAAGCTTGAGAAAATCCTATAACCATGAATAAAGGAGAAGAACTGTTAATCAACTGCAACCCTCTGTAAAAAGGATGCCATATGAATGAATTAATGAGAATAAAAAATTGATTTTCAAAATAAATGGATTTATATTGAATATTTTTAAAACTTTTTATGTTAGCATGAATAGAAGAAATAAATACAGCAATAATAAGAGTATAGTATATAATTTGTATATGAGCAGATGATTTTTTTTCTCTTCAGTTTTTATCTTTAAACTAATCAATTTTAGGAATAAAAAATTTTTCAATGAATTTTTAATTTTCAGGTGGATTTTCAAAGAGAGATAGACTCAGAGGATGGGACTCCGAAAACAAAATTAGTAAAAAGGATTTTATTCAGTAAAAATAATCCATTTCCTCAAAAGAAGATTATGACTTTTAACCGTCACACAAAAGATTTTTCTTTTAATGTTAGTTATGCAGATCTCAATTTTTTACCACAGTTGGAATATCAGTAAGTACAATGCAGATCAAATCTCAAGCAGTTTAGAAATAAATATTAAGCTAATAACCATAATTTTTATTTATTCATCTATTATATTAATCTACATTTCAACTTCTTTTTATTTGTAAATAAAGGAAAACTATATGGAAGTTGCAATTTTATCTACAAAAAAGCTAAATGTTTACTGCAATAATTTTTTGTATAGTTCTTCAGAATTAATAATACTCAGATAATACCTTTTTCTTTCACTTCTATGTGTTTAATGTTTTATCTTGCCTTTAATGAAATTATCATTATATTACCATAATAATTAGCATCAGATTTAGATAGATGTATTTATTTATTTATTTTATTCTTTTAGTATTATTGCTACAGTGAATTCTTTTAGATATTGTAAAATTCAAATTTGGTATATGGATCATGTAATCATGAACACTCACGAAATCTTTGTGTTTGATTCAAATTATGGTTTAAGTATCTTCCAAATCTTTTTACATTTATCAAATATTCTAAAGAAGGCAAATTTTATCTGTAATAATGTATCAAGTTTCTTAAATTTAATTATCTAAACTAAACCAAATTAAATAAATGAAGGTAAAATCCACAAATATTTAGGATTCTAACTCACAAAACATGCACCAAAAAACAGACTAATAAAAGAATACAACAGCAAATTAAACTTGATACTAACAACACAGTTGAATGTAAAACATGTTTAAAGCAATCAACATATAAGGGCTGTTCGGAAAGTTCGCGGCCTCACATAGAAAAACAAACAAAATAATGTTAAAACTTTTTTTATTTTTCAATGTAATCTCCTCTGTTAGCAATGCACTTATTCCAGCGATGTTCTAGCTTTTTTATGCCATCACAATAGGTCGATTTGTCAAGGTGTGCAAAATACTCGTTCACTTCAGAGATGACTTCGTCATTTGAGTGGAATCTCTTTCCAGCCAAGAATTTTTTTAGGTTTGGAAAAAGGTGGAAGTCACTGGGGGCCAAATCAGGTGAGTACGGTGGATGTGGAACTAATTGGAAGCGAAGTTCGTTTATCTTTTGTTCAGTGATTCTGGCGGAATGTGCAGGTGCATTATCGTGGTGGAACAGAACTTTTTTCTTCTTCAAGTGTGGCCTCTTTTCTTCGATTTCTTTCTTCAGTTTTTCCAAAAGTTCACAGTAATAGACAGCATTAATGGTCTTTCCTCTTTCTAGGTAGTCAATAAAGATGATGCCTTTAGCATCCCAAAAAACCGAGGCCATCACTTTACCCGCTGATGGAACTGTCTTTGCCTTCTTTGGTGGTGGCGAACTGTGGTGTTTCCATTGCTTCGACTGTTCTTTTGTTTCAGGAGTGTAGTAATGGATCCACGTTTCGTCAGTAGTCACAAACCGACGCAAGAAATCCTGTGGGTTTTTCTGGTAGAAGTCCAAACACTCCTTTGACATCAAAGTGCGAACACGTTTTTGCTCGGCGGTCAGCAGATGCGGCACCCACCTTGCTGAGACCTTCGTCATACCCAAATCTTCGGTTAGGATGTGGTGCACTCGGTCGACAGAGATGCCTGTTGTCTCAGCTATCTCACGCGTTTTCAAACGGCGATCTGCTAATACCAAATCGTGAACTTTGTCGATGTTTTCTTCAGTGACAGCAGTTGACGGCCGTCCGCTGCGAGGGTCATCTTCCACACTTTCTCTGCCAGATTTAAAAAGGGCTGTCCATTTTTTCACAGTGGTGTACGAAGGAGCAGACTCTCCTAAAACTTCATCCATGTCAGCTTTGATTTGAGATGGGGTCAACCCTTTTTTCGTCAGGTATTTTATGACCGCACGAGTCTCCGTCTTCTCCATTTTTGACAAAGCATGTGCACACTGACTATCTGCTAAGCTGTCGTGGCAAAACTTTTTGACAAATCAAGCGGAAATTGGTATCGTATCTTTAGCAAAGATGGCTGAATTATTCCCGCCAAAAATTAAATTGATCGCAGCGCCGCATATAGGCAAGGCCGCGAACTTTCCGAACAGCCCTCGTATATCTGTATGTTGTTCTAGTATTGACATATTCATTTAAGAGTTGTACAATACTTCTAAAATGTGTTCAATGTATAACTCATAAGGAAAACAGGAATAATAACAAAAACACAAGTACTACCTATCTTCTTTTGTTTTACAAGAAAGTGTTATCCTTGTAAAGCAAAGTGTTAAACCTCAGATATTTAAAATTTGCTCTACAAACAAATGCAGATGCTGAAAGAGTTTTTCTGTAGAAAACAAGAAACATTACAGTTTCACAAAGCTGTAACTCTTGTAGACAAAAACAGTAATATTTAACTTTGGGCTGGATCTAATACAGTAAACAAATCACAGTCTTGGGCTCTGAAGAAACTCCATGATAAGAACATTAATAGTGTCATCCAGAATCTTGCTGACAGAACTGTGATCAACTATTGACTGATTTGCAGTTGCCTCTTTGGAGAGACAGAAGGGTTCATAATTCCATAGAAAACCAGATCATAAATACAAGAAACTACAGAAAGCACATTTTAAAAGAGACAATACTCAGACAACACTTGTAGAAAATGTCTCATCATTCAAGAGACTATAAGCATATCAGGTTATACATCACATCAGTTGCAGCTTTTATCACACTACTTTTAACTGACTACTTGATATAAGCAAGTAGTCAATATAATACATCAAAAGCTTGTAGGTGAGCACAAACTACTACAAATCCCAGAATTATACTACAAATACACTTCTTAGATCACCATAGAAAACAACACACAAAACATACTATAACACTAAGAGCTCTAATAACAGACAAAACCATTCATTACAACAGGTCAGATGTATTCATAGACAAACAAAACAAAATCATATACATTATAGACTTAGCTGTTTCCAACATTTACAACATACAAAATACACAGAGAAAAAAATTAGTAAATATACAGAATTTTCCCATGAAATAGTCAGTGGAGAATGGATAAGGTATTTATTGTGCCAGTAGTCCATTTTTTGCACAGACATTACATCACATACATTACAGTCTTGTTATGGTATACTTCACAACAGTACACACATATTGCACTACAGAAGGCTGCCAGGCTAAACACATGTTAAATAGTGAGGAAATTCTTAAACACAATATAGAAACAAACAGCGCACAAACTTTTTTCTATGGATATTTTTTGAACTTTGGTCTGACTTAGCATTAGGCATTGATATATATGCTGTGAGGTACACTCCATCAACACAGTAGTAGTAATAATAATAACAATAACTATCCCGTGGTCATCACCTGGTCGTGGTGGGAGAGCCCAGTAATTTTAATGATCCATAGGGCAATGCAGGCTGGAGCACAAGCTTCTGGTAGGGACACCAATGCCAGTAAGGTCTATGGGGAGAAATGAAACTAAGAGTGACCACACCCACATTCTGTGGAGATAATTATCATGGTAGTAACCAGATCTAAGTATGATACCAGCTTGGATGTCGCCTGGGTTAACAAGGTCCGCGTTCATGGGTTAGTTAGAGGCTCACCTTTGAAAAATAGGCCACAGTCTCCCTTGGTTACCTCTGGCAAAAGCAGCACCAGCCCAAGCATGGCTACTGCAATGCCCTCAACAGATGTGAGGAATCAACCTAGCCTTGGTGTTTCTGTGGCAATGCATCCACAGACCACAAAGGCTGGAAAACCACGCCAACAGATGAAATGGACAACAGAAATGAACGAGTTTATCATCCGTACTTAATACACCATCTCAAGACTTGAAACAAACATGACAGCATACAGACAACAACTACACCATAGATTCACACAACAATATCCTCACCTCACTGTCACTGAACAAAGGGTTGTTGATCAAAAAAGAACAATTATACACAACCTTATCCCACAACCAACACTTGAACTTATCAAACAACAGGTTGCTGATCAAATACATCAACAGGCAGAAACATTTAACATTAATGAAGATCACATAACCTGTCAGGATAATCCAGCAACAAGCATTGATAATAGTACACATACAACAACTACCATTAATGATACTACAGACACTTCCTCATCCATCACTGATAACGTAGATATAGATTTAGTTAATACGCTCTCACTTATATTTCAGGAAACACTCTCTAAATATACAGGTACAGATCCCACACAAAGACCATGAATAACAAAAATGAACACATTAAAGGTAGAAGGAAAAACACTAAATTATGTAAACACTCACTTTCTACCACACTATATCCATTCAATTTCTACACTCTCAGAAATTCATATATTAGTTTATACTGGGGCAGTCACAATAGTGACACACCATGGACTGAAAATACAATTGCAGACAGACACACACAAAACACAATTCTATCACAAACCTGCCTGGCAGAGAAGAATAGAAACACAAATAAATGACATTAGACAGCAATTGAGCAGGCTGACACAATATACTAAAAACAACATAACACCTAAATTAACCAACTCAAAAATATTTTCAAGAAAATCAAAACACAACAAAACATGAACATCACAACACACACATTACAGAATACATTGATACACTAAAACAAATACTTGCAGCCAAAGCATGTAGACTCAAATGATACAAAACATGTATGCTACGAAAACAACAAAATAAGTTATTTACAAACAATGTAAAACTTTTACAAACAACTTAGTACCAAAACAAATACTGATATACAGCACAGTGGCACATCAACAGAAGAAGAACTCACAACTTATTGGTCTTCTCTTTGGTCCAAAGCTGTTACACACCATGCTGATGCAGGCTGGATCGAGGAGGAGAACAGAAACTTGCACAACGTACGAACTATGCCCTGTGCTGAAATAAATGTACACATCTACTATGCTGTGAACAGAACACACAATTGGAAGACACCTGGTGTAGACAACATTCACAATTTCTGGTACAAAAAATTTACATCACTGCACCAGGAACTAGCTAAACATCTAACACACATCATCATCAATCCACAAGACATGCCAAAATTTCTTACTCAGGGCATCACCTACATGAAAGCTAAAAACAACAATACTACAGACCTCACACAATACAGACCAATTACATGTTTTCCAACACACTACAAATTATTGACTTCCTGTATCACAAACAAAATATACAAACATGTTGAAGAACACTACATTCTTACAGAACAACAAAAAGGTTGCCGTAGAAATCACAGGGGATGCAAAGAACAGTTACTAATAGATTCAGTCATTCTATGGCAAGCACAAAAACAACACACACATACATGGCATACATAGACTACAGAAAAGCATTCGACAGTGTTCCACACAGTTGGTTGCTACATATTCTATACGTGTATAAAATACATCCATCACTCATTTCATTCTTCCAAAACACTATGCAGCACTGGAGAACAACACTACATCTCAGGGTTAGTAACACTTCGATACAAACAAACGAAATATTCATTAGGCGAGGAATTTTTCAAGGAGATTCATTGAGTCCTCTCTGGTTCTGCCTAGCCCTGAACCCATTATCCAACATGTTAAACAACACGCGTTATGGCTACAATATCAGATATGAAAAAAACAACACAGTTTACGCTGTCACATCTCATGTACATGGATGGCATAAAACTTATAGAAATAGATAAATAAATAAAACTCACGCCAAAATTGTATAGCCTTCTTGATAAAAAGCACTGAGTTCAGCGTTAATACGATTTTTCTTATATCGCAAGTACTTTCGACGAGTATTATATCGTCGTCTTCAGGCGAAAAAAGAACAAATTTGAAAATTAGAACGTGCAGAATGTTCCAAGTAGAAAACGGAAAAATTTTCTTGTCAATTTCTAAATTATAGCGTTCGGTAATTCTGTTGGTCACGTGCAACAAGCTTTTGCTGGCGTTCGAAATATCTTAAATCCACACGACTAGCAGCGCATGCGTTGAGGAGCGATCGTACTAATTGTGCGACTCTTGGCGCTTTTTGCTGTTTAAACGCTGGTATAAAGTAACCCATATTTCGGGCAAGTCTCTCACTCGACTTGCCCGAAATATGGGTTACTTTATACCAGCGTTTAAACAGCAAAAAGCGCCAAGAGTCGCACAATTAGTACGATCGCTCCTCAACGCATGCGCTGCTAGTCGTGTGGATTTAAGATATTTCGAACGCCAGCAAAAGCTTGTTGCACGTGACCAACAGAATTACCGAACGCTATAATTTAGAAATTGACAAGAAAATTTTTCCGTTTTCTACTTGGAACATTCTGCACGTTCTAATTTTCAAATTTGTTCTTTTTTCGCCTGAAGACGACGATATAATACTCGTCGAAAGTACTTGCTATATAAGAAAAAATCGTATTAACGCTGAACTCAGTGCTTTTTATCAAGAAGGCATAAAACTTTATGCATCCACACAAAAAGAACTTCAGCAGCTCCTACAAATCACACACTCATACACCAAGGACATACAAATGGAGTTTGGATTAGACATATGCAAAACACTTCACATAGAAAAAAGGAGTCCTGAAGAAAGACGATTTCACACTTGGAAATGGAGACGTTATTGAATCCATGGAAGAGGGTGAGTTTTACAAGTATTTAGGATTCCTATAGGCCAAACTAACAGAACATACACAAATAAAGCAGACATTAATTAAAGAATACCAAAGTAGGTTAAACGCTATCCTCAGAACACAGTGAAATGCAAAACACAGTTAAAGCAATAAACACACATGTCATCCCAGTACTCACATACTCTTTTGAGTTATACATTGCACTCACACAGATCTTGAGCAACTCCAAAGGAAAACAAGAACAATGCTTACTAAGCATAAGCATCATCATCCTAAATCTGCCACAAAGATTAACCTTTCCACTTAAAGATGGCGGACATGGTCTGATCGACATAGTTAACCTTCACTACAAACAGACACTGAGAGGGTTTTTGTACAATAAACAATAAACATCACAGTTACATAAAGGAGTAACTCTAGCAGACTCAAATAACATATCATTAAATTTACACTCGCATCATACGGACACGACACAATGTATAAAAAGCATAGACACCATTAAGCAATTGTGGGCTCAAAAGGCACTCCACAGCAATCATCCTTATGACCTGGCCCAGGATTTTGTTGACAAAACTGCATCAAACAGCTGGTTAGATCGGGGATACCTCTTTGGGGAGACAGAAGGATTCATGATTGCCATACAGGATCAGGTCATAAATACTAAAAACTACAGAAAACACATACTCAAAGATACAACACTCACAAATGACACATGCAGAAANCAAACAGCTGGTGGTTAGATCGGGGATACCTCTTTGGGGAGACAGAATTCATGATTGCCATATAGGATCAGGTCATAAATACTAAAAACTACAGAAAACACATACTCAAAGATACAACACTCACAAATGACACATGCAGAAAATGTCATATCATGCCAGAAAGAATACAACACATTACTTCTGGTTTCAAGTTCTTGGCACAGACAGATTATTTACATAGACATAATCAAGTAGCAAATATAATACACTAAGAGCTTGCAAACAAACACAAATTATTAGACATTTACAAACCATACTACAAATACATTCAACAGACAGTATTAGAAAACAACACACACAAAATGTACTACGACAGAGCCATAATTACGGATAAAACAATTTACTACAACAGACCAGACATCACACTCATTGACAAACACAATAAAATCACATACATTATAGACATATCCATTTCAAACGTTCACAATGTACAAAACACATGCACTGAAAAAATTAGAAAGGAAACACAGAACTCACCCAGGAAATAAAGTATCTGTGGAGGATGGAAAGGGTGCTTATTGTACTTGTCGTTCTGTCCTGTACAGGTGTGAAACCACACACACTATACAAAAGCCTGGGAACATTACAATTGAATAGAAATACATACATCACACTACAGAAGGCCACTACAGTGGGTGATCAGTTAACGAACATAATCCGTTCCAAGACTTTGTTCGTTAACCAATTATCGATTTCCCATAGGTTTTTATGGGAATTTGATTAATTTGTTCTGGAGACTCCAAAAAATTAAAAATATATAATTTTTTACTACGTTTATTTACATGTAATGGTAAAAATACACATATATGCAGTCTTGCATTTTTATTAGTCATATTTATTTTGTTGTGGGGTTAAAGAATCTGTCCAGTGTCGATTGCTTTTCTCTTTTCTTTAGAATTTTAGTAATTAATAGTATTGTAATTGTAGAGATCCCCAACCCTATTAACCTTATTCTAGTTGGGATCCCACTTGGATGATCATTATTTTGACATCTCCCCACTTCTTCAAAAGATCTTTAGTAGTAGATGCCGACATTGGTTCTCTTTCCTCTTTCACTTTTTCAAAAGAAAACACATCTCTCTGAGTTTCTTGGTATTCTTCATTCGAGAGTTCTTCTGTGGTCAGATCAGTTTCAGGTTCCATTATGAACTCAAAAATGCTCTTTATTTCTCAGATGTGATTTTCATTACTCCATTAGCAGCTTGAGACTTCTTGATATATTTTTCATAGCTAAGATTGTGCTTACTGTAGACCTGTTCAAGCCATACTGCCTAGCAACATCAGACATCTTGCACTCACTTTCTACCTTGGCTATTATGTCTTACTGGTTTCTATGGTGAGCACAGTTCTTGACACTCCTCTTTTTAGGCTCCATAATATTATCAGTTTCTTTTTTAAATAAAAGGTTTAGAAAAGCACTTACAAAAATTCAGAGAACAGAAATCAACTAGCCCACAAAGTTATTTAAATGCAAGGCCCGGATGAAATTTGAAATTTGGTATTAAAATGTTAATGAATATCTGATCGGACAGTTAAACTCTCACCTTTCGTAAATTAAAATCGACACAAAACTTAACAAGTACCTGCCCGACAGTCTAGCGAGACTATAAAATATTATTTGTCAGAAAGGTGAACAAAAGGCTGAAATTACAAGGGCGAGTTTCAAAATTCAGAGGAATACTATTTGATCGGTATCGAGTTGAGAGTCGATGTTACATCTCCCGCATTCCAAAAGGTTTCAAATTGTTATCTGAAGACAGGGGAAAATCAATCGATATTCATTATTTTCTGTTGCTTTTTTCTATGTTTATTCAGTAAAGTGTTCATTATCCGAACATGTATTCGTTGTTCGATCATAAAAATCTTTCGCGAAAGTGTTTGCTCTCCAAACTGTTTGTTAACCGATCACCCACTGTATATTGAATACATGCCATATTGTTAGGAAATTTCTGAACACAGACACTGACACACTTACTTAATTTTAGTTTTGTTTTGGTATCTATGCCTTGACTCTGGTCAGGCATAGTACACAGCCACCGCTGTCAACCGAGTATAACCCACATAATAATAATTATTATTATTTGTGTATTTTCAGATCAGTTGGATCTCACAATTTAAGTGTAGTAAGTCTATCAGGTGTACAAGATGCAATGTCAAAACATGTTGGAGAAGACAGTGAATCTAAAGGAGTAAAAGTACATTTTCATTTAGATGAAAATGGAATTTTAAAAATTGATCATGTAAGTTATATTTTGAAGCTTATGTTTCGGCTTATAATAGCGATTCTTAACCTTGAATTTTTAAAATCAATTTTCACACCTCAAAAAAAAAATGTAGGGTTGGTTTTTTTATTTAAGGGATAGAGTTCCATTTTCTCAAGTGCTTAGGAAGATTAAGGGATTAGAGGCTGAAGGAATTAATTTAATTTAGAATAAAATTATTTTGACAATATTTTAAGTTAATTTTTAAAATAAATACAAATTACAATAAGGTTTTAAGTTTTTGTTTCTAAAGTTCAAAATAAAGATTGGCTTTCAAAAGTTGATTGTACAGTAGACCCCCCTATAACACGAAGATACATTCCTCGTTATACGAATTTCGCGTCGTTGGAATCCTTGGGCTGTGATTGGCTCACGTATTTGACACGTATGAAGTTTACGGACTACAGCTGTTTGAAAGGTTTTCTTCCATAAAATTAATCAATTTTAGACTAATTTGACTTAACATTTCCAAAATACGTATATTTTTTTTTTTGGAAATAATCCATATAAACTACGCTATAAACAAAAAATTGTAGGATTATTCGACATCGCCGTTGCTCAAGCTTGTTTTCATCGCAGAACAGCTCAGCAAACCGCGGCCGCAATTTCTGATGTTATTTTTCTGCGAAAACTTCACTGAACTTAGGAGACATCATTAATATAAATAATTTTTATCGCCGTTGAATAAGAAATGTTTCTTTCACAAGAAATGTATAAAATTACAGTACTGTATTAGACTTACGGTAACTAATTTACATACTGTACAGAATAGTTTGCCTAAACTCTCCGTAGTGTGGCGCCAGGCGGCGGAAAGCATATATATAATTACAATTAAGTTACAATAAATTAAGTTAATATATAATTATATGTACAGTACCTAATTTATATATAATACTGTACAGACGATAGTTAAACTCAACTTACCAGCCTAAACTCTCCATAGCGTGGCGCTAGACGGTGGAAAATAGTTCGGCTGCTCGTCCGTGATGACGAGTTGGCGATGATGTTTTACGTGCCCCGTTATACGAATACTGCCGCAATTTTTTTGCCACGTCATAGGAATCTACATTATTGGAACCTGCGTTATGGGGGGTCTACTGTATTTAATATGTTTCTAAGTCATTATTACTGTAAATTTCACAGAAAATCATATGCAAGATTGCAATTAAGTAAATTCTATATTATAAATCTCAAAATTTTTAATAACCACAGTATATTTACTGAATAAGACTACAATCATAATTAGAAAAGTAATTGCTTAATTTTGAAAGTGCTGGAAATGTCTCCAGTTTTCTTGATGCAGTTAGATCCTTCTTATTTTATTAACAAATATTTTGTATAGTGTCTTATCTGAGATAGATTCCATGGAATTATTACTTTTATATCTTATGAATTATTTTTGTAAACATTGCTGGTTAGTAAATCTTTAAAAGTAAGTATCAATAACCATGAGATTAGATGATAGGCAGACTGAATACTTTCAAGAGTAATTTGTTTTTCAAAGATAGTTTTATAGTATACACAGCTCATTATTACATACAATTAATAAAGGCTATCTTGCATGAAAGTTTGCATTAGATTTTGTTATTTAACTGGCTTATAAATGGATATGAAATTTGTTTACAAGAACTAATGTTCTTAATTGAAGCTTTTGCTATTGTGTTAGTGTATTTGAATAACAATTAAAAATTATATTTCACTATTACTGTATAAAGACTTCTTGATCGTCCTGTGTGATATGTTGCATGCATTATAAATTATGAATTTATCATCATTATCATTATTCTAAGTAAAATTTTATTATTATTAAAATTTAAAAATTTTATAGAATAGCAAGCAATATGAATTGAATGAAAGAACATTAATAAAATATTAGACTTTGCAGTTTATATTTTTATAATCGATGATGATATTATTTTTTTATTTAGGCAGAATCAATCTTTGAAAAGAAATTAGAAGATGAAACTAGTGATGAGACTACTGTGGAATCAACTTTGAGTAAATTAGGAAACACTATTGGAAAACTATTTTCTACAGACAGTAGTAAAGCTGATAATAAAGAAGAAGCATCTGATGAAAGTCAAAGTGTTAATAATGAAACAAGTGATGTTAGTAAATTTAGAAAATTTTTTAAAATATTTAAAATTCTGTATAAACAAAAAAACAAATTTTGATAAAATAAGAGAGAGAGAAAATTAATGACAGAATAAAATGCTTTTTAAAAGTAGCAATATTAAATTAACAATTTTGACACTTAAATAAAATATAAAGGATGCAAAATATATTCTTTAAAATGCCTATTTAAATTTGATTTTTTATTTTTGATAATTAAGAGGTAAAACGTTATTTTTAAATATATAAGTATATATTCACTAATTATTTAATTTCTTAATTATGAATATAAAAGCAAACTGCTAATTACTGATTTTAATTATTAGGATAGCAACATAAATAAAAATGCTTCAGAAAGTACAAAAAATGAAACCCAAGATAAGGTTGACAAGAAAGGTCCAAAGATCATTACAATTAAAGAGAATGTAGTAGTCAACTATCTTTTGGGAGATTTTCATGATATGGAAGAAGCAGAAACTATAGAATCATTGGCCAAGTAAGTGTTAAATTTTATCAAATTGATATATTTTAGATAATGCTGAACTGAAAATAATGTAGCAGTTATTATTTAATTGATGATTTCAATTGTCATATAGAATAGTTAATTTCAAACTGCTTTGAATTAGAACAAAATCTTATTTATGAAATATTCTGTTCTAAAATGTAACTTTGTTATTTTGCTATTGCTTTATACATTTATATTTAAAATTTTTCCACAACATGTTGCCAGCACAATGTCATCACAAATAAGACTGCCAGATTTTTTCATTGCTCCATATCCAAAAACGTTTTTCTTTTCATACTCATTTTGCAGTAAATTTTGGAAAAATTTTGGCTATGTTCTTATATATATATAACTTAACTTTTGCAATTTTAGCCATTTTTTGGAAAGTGAAGATTTGTCCAGAATGTGGCCCACAATTGCTCTGGGTGTAAGAATAAATTGTGTATACCTAAACTTGTCATTTTTCACCATAATTTAGAAATCTAGGCATCTATATGACCATTTAGCAGCCTGATGAGATTCATGGCCTTTAAGTTCACTTACCTGTTTGAGGTTAGAACTTTGCAGAGCCAATTCATTAAGCCTATAGTCATGTGTTTTTTTAAACTTTACCCAATAAAGGGCAGTCCAATCTTGGTTAGATTGCTGGCCACTACAACATATGGTGTTTGCATGGTCAAACCTATATTCTCACATACCAAACACAGAATACTGATAATCACAATATCAAGTTTCAGTGAGTCACAAACTAACTCACAAGTGAAAATGTTGAGTCAAAGTCATAGAAATATTAAATTTGATGCATAAAAAAAGTGAGTAAATAAAAACTCTAAATATAAAAAACTTCAATTTGTTTTGTGTAGTCTGCATTTCTGATAGTAAAACTTGTTTTAGAAAGAATATTCTAGTAAAAATTGTTTATATTATAGATTAGCTCTTCAAACAGATTTTTAATATTTCAGGCTGAAAAAAATTGATGATCAAGAGAGAGAGAAATTAGCACAAGAGAAGGCAAAAAATGCATTAGAATCATTTATTTTGGAAACAAAAAACAAATTATATACTGAAGAATATGAAAAAGCAGCTGCAAAAGAAGAAATAGAAAAAATATTAAGCAAGTTATCAGAAGAAGGTGATTGGCTTGAATATGAATCTGGAGAAGCAAAAACTGAAGTAAGTTATAGCTTTTTGTGAAACCAATTATTAGACTATTTTTATATTCTGAATCAAGATTACAGAAGGTAATATCTTCAGAAATCTTGTACATCTGCAAAAAAAACTTCTATTAACTTTTAATTTACATGTATTGCAAGTAAAAGTTAACTTCTGTTTGAAAAATGTTTTTATTGCTTGTAAAAATTATTTAATTTAACTTGGAATATAGAAATTTCATGCATTGATTTTTTTTCAAAATATTATCAGGTAACCAAATAAGTAATGTTGTTTTTTAGGAATATGAATAAAAATGTTTGTATTTTTTATTTGAAATAATTTTACATAGATTTTTCAAACTGAGCATAAATTGAGTGTGTCACTAAAAGAAAGTACCTAAGAGTAAAGTCTGTGTTATTTTACATTAACTTTGTTAATAAATTTTTTCCATTAAATATTAACACAAATTTAAATTTTATTCGTTGTTGCTGTTGATGCTACATTTCAAAACAGTTAATCTTATTATTTTTCTAATTGGTCTGAAATTACTGTCCTCATTACTCAAAATATTTGATAATTCATTACCAACCTGTCTCTTTTTGGATTATTATTTTTGGTGAAGTTCTCATAAATTTTTTGATACTTGCTTCAACAGTTTGTCTTGTTAAAATTTCAGAGGTCTTAATGTTGAGATCAATAGTTAAAATTATACTTTGTAACTTTTTGACAAATTCAACATTTTTGTAAATATTTTTTATAGTGAATGAGTTTCAGATATGTTAACTCATTATCAGTTAATTTATTGATATCATTCATATTTAAATATTTAATACTGAAATCAATTGCATTGTTTAAAAAATTTTTGAAGCAGTTTTATAAGTTAATCAAATCCCTCCAGGTTCTAGAATAGTTTTTTTTGTTCTAAGATGCTTAGAAGGCTACGCACAAATCAATTAATTAATTAAAACAAGTCAGAATGATGAAAAATTCTTACTTAACTAGAAAATATAAAAAGTACAATAATATATTATATTTATTGAAATTATTATGTAAAGATGGTGTCTCTTTGAATTTAATTTGTTTCAGGAGGCTATTCAAACTCTAAATTATTTGAAGTTCGAATCAGTTTTCCCTGTTATGTGATAGGGGCCGAAAGTTTCCAGCCTAAGTATGTTTTAGATGTTCTAGGTATAAAAAATGATGTCATTTTTCAATATAGTCTCCTTGTAGTTGAACACACTTATTATATCTGTGAATTAGCATTTCAATACCCTTTAAAAAAATAGTCTGCAGTTTTGCATACAAAATGCTCATAAACTGCCTCCTGCAATCAGGGCTGCAAAGTCAGTAAAAAAACACTTGACTCTGACTCCTGATAATTTTAGTAAGCTGACTTTTGACTCCGCAAAATTAAATACCAGGTCATTTTATGGGGGCAGAGGCACTCATAGGAGATACCGTACTCTGAACTCTGAAAGGAGTCTTGTGTGTTTACCCAAATACTTTTATAGTTAGTATTTTTAATATTTATTTGTATAAAAAAATTAATTTTTAACAAATATTTAATAAGAGGAGAAAGGGACAATAAAATTCTACATCTACATAAATTCAAAAGCATTTGCACTTTAATTTCACCCTTCCAGGGCCCTTAGTCTCGAGTTTTTCGTGTTACAACTGCCAACGTGTTGAAGGTGTCACATGGTACCATCTCACACTCTGGCGTCAAATTGGTATCTCAGGTTATAACTCGCATGCTTTCCCATCTCACCATGTGAGTTGCTACTCATGTTGAGTCGAGCATGTGAGATCGCTACACGAAAGTGAAAATGGCTGATGGATATGCTATTCTGATCACAATCAAAGCATTAGAAACAGCTGAAAGATGACATTTAAGAAGACAACAAATTTTTTACCACGAGTAGATGCCATTTCTTTTCATGTCAAGTCAACACTAATAAAAAATTTAATTCATAATTGATAAAAATTTTACAGCAAATTTTTCAAAAAATAAAAAGAAGTATCTTAAGTCATCGAAAAAAAGAATTAAAATGATAGTAAATTATATATATAAATTATTAAGAGCATAGACACTATATATTAAGATTATTTATTAATCAGAAGTGTTAAGTTCTGATTAATAAATAATCTTAATAGACAAAACAATTTAAGAAATAGATCAAGGAAGAAAACTATATGAAGAAAGGATTAAATTAAAATACTTTTTACATTACACGATGGATTTTTTAGCTCCAACACATGCAATTAATTTTTCAACTAATTCTCTCCACAAATCGAATTCTCTTTTCCTTGTAAATTCGTTGTCGAATCTTCCACTGTTCATTTTCTTATTATTTTCTATATATGTTACTAATATTTCTGTTTGTTCTTTTTGCTTATTTTTTGAAATTAAACATTGAGGATTTCCATTTTGTTTCTGTGTACTGTATTCCTATAAGACAAAACTTTTAACTATAACACGTGTAAACTAATTTACGTTGATTTGTTTACAACTTGTCACACTCAAGTTGATTGGTTGAATCAGTATAGTCACAAACCCAGACGCATTGTAAATAATCCTATCATGCTTAACGACAGACGTAACCAAGTGAGTATGACATATTTCCGCTTGCCTTTCGAGTTCGCTCGATGGGTCTAACTTGAGACTATCGATTATGTGAATCATAGTAACACGAGTGAGTTCAATGATATCAATTAGAGTACAACACAAAAAAACTAAAGACTAAGGGCCCAGAAGAGTTAGTCCAACTAAAAAGTGTGAGATCTAGCTAGCTACTTCAGCCCCTTGTTCAGAAAAGAAAAATATGTACTTTAATCAATTAGTCTGGCTCATTCAGAAAAATAGAGTACTTATTTAGAGCAGGGATAATATAGGAATGATTCAAAAATATTCAAATTCAGTTGGGTCAAAATAATTTAACTACTAAATGCATATACTATGACGAATACTACATATTTAATAAATTAAACTGATTCATTTTGTATTTAAAATAAATGAATTATAACAAAATACAAAAAAAAATTAAAAATTAATAAATATATAATAAATTTTCTTTCATTTAAATAAAAAAAACTAAAGTAAATTTAAAATGCGGGAGTCTGAGTTGACACATTTTTTCTGACTCTTACTCCACAGCCCTGCCTGCAACTCTTCATCACTTTTTCAAAGGTCTTTTTTGAGTTTTGAAAACAGATGATAGTCACTAGAAGCAGATCAGGACTGTAGGGTGGATGGTCAAGCCCCTTGAACCCATACTTCTTCACAGCAGCCTTACAATGGCAGCCATGTGTACTGGTGCATTGTCCTGCAAGAAGCAAATGTGATACAAATTAATGCAACAAGTTTAAGTAAATGAATGTTTCCAAGTGACTTATGAAAATTGGCAAGAAAACTTGTTTTATTAGCCCACATACAGATGGTGCTATCTGACACTATTGTTATTTTATTCCTATCATGTCTAAAATATAGTTAGGCTGGAAACTTTTGGCACCTATCACATAGATATAATGGAAAGTGAATTAATCCATTTCCGGAACCTAAACTATATCCTTTTTGATAAACTTAAACAGCAAATACACATAATTTTAAGTTAAAAATAACACAACTAAATGCCATAAATAATGTATTAAAACACGAAAACAATAGATGAAATATATAAATACTAAATACACTCAAACAAACCTTTACATATGCAGCCGTAATTTAATAGATAAATTCAAACATTTTCTATTATATTTAAATAGAAATTTCTATTAAATTACGGCTGCATATGTAAAGGTTTGTTTGAGTGTATTTAGTTAAGAAATGCAGTCTCTGACGAGTTATATATAAATACCATATAATAAAAAATTGCATTTACTGTATCTTAATGAGAAGTTGTGATGTTGCATTTCTTAAGGTCACCATGCAGTTTGCTTGATTTTCTTATAAATAATCCTCTGAAATGATATCAGCAGCCAATTGCTTCATTTATCCACACTAGGAGGAGATGTCATGCCTTCAATCACATTTGCTGCTTTAATTGCTTCCTTGTTCTTAAGAATGATGCACATCATTGACTCCAGTATCTTAAACATAGTCACCATATTTGACTACTTTTATGCTTCAGATAAGTCCTCAATCATCAATACTAGTCTTCCTTTTAGGCTTCATTGCTTCTACTCTTCTTGGAACACAAGAGATACTTTCACAACAAGAGCAAAAGAGAGAACTAGGTGCACAACAGATGGTATTTATCAGCAAATGGATTTTTTACTTTATGCTCAGTTTGAATGTAGATGCATTGTTTAAACTGTGTTGAATCTCTCTTGAATTTAGCATTTAAACTCTGGAATGTTCAAAGTTAGAGCTGTGTGAAGTATGAGATACCACTGTATTTTTTTTTTTAATTATGTAAAATGAGATTGTGCAAAAATCTCATATGAGACAGTATATAAAAGAGGGTTTTAAAAAAAACTTATACATGGAGTGATTACTTATTGTGTAATAAAAAAAAAGTATAAAAAGTACTGCATAGCTTGAGGGACAAATATATAGTTATAAAGTATATACATCATTTTTCTTTTAGGTATTCAAAGAGAAGCTATCTGAATTAAAATCATTAACAAAAGAGTTATTTAAAAGAGTACAAGAACACAAAGATCGTCCTGATGCAATTAATGCCTTGAATGATATGATCAATATAAGTACAATATTTTTGAAAAATGCTCAGAAAGTACCAAAAGAAGAACAGATATTTACAGATGTTGAGATTACTACATTAGAAAAACTGATAAGTGAAACAGAAGTAAGTTTTTGTTTCTTTTTTGTCCAATATTCTTTTCTAAATATTTACTTTAAATGCACACCATAAATTAATTTTAAGAGATAATTTATAAGATGACTATTAAAGAAGTTTTAATTTTTGTTTTCTATTATATGTAATAAGGAATAATTAATTACAGAAAAGATGATAAAACATTAATACTTAATTTAAACAGAAAAACAGTCTTTATTTATCACCTGTATAAAAAAAAATAGTCTTTATTTATCACAGGTGATAAATAAAGACTATTTTTTTGACTTTGTTTACTTAATTTTCAGAACCAGTTATCTAGTATAATAAGTCCTAATAATAGATGAGTCCTAATTAATTCTTTTGAAGATAAAGTCCTTTCCAAAAAAAATAGGAACCACCATTTATTAACTTTGTGTTCCAGACATTACACTTTTGGCAACTGACCTTTTCTTTTAGGCTACTGGCTGCCAAACAGTCCTTTAAAAAACACAAAAATATCCAATTAAAAATATAAACATTTTTAAAAAACAGGAACTGGTGATGTTCGGATGTCTTCTATTTTCCATCATACCTTCTTGGAGTTGTTTCAGCTTTTATCTAAAACAAAATAAGTTCTGGTAAAATGTAGATGAGGAAAGCTGGCCCCTGGTGACGATACTTTAAAATTCTTTTTGGTGGTTCCTTAAGTAAAATGTGATTCTAGATTTTTTTTCCTTATAATACGTCAAGGACTTTAATAGCATATATCTTGCACATAGTTTATTCATGAATTCTTCATTTCACTTTTTTGACACCTTAATCACAATATAACATTTCAGAAAACAATTTTCTTTTTCTATTCTTTTTAAATTGTTAACTGTTAATCATATAGGATTAACAGTTGTATGCTTCAGATAACTTCCTAACTGAATTATAAATTATATAAATTACAATTCAGTTAGGAATATTACAATATTCAAGTATTTCTATTAATTAAAATTATACACATGCTTGATAGTGCATAGACACATTTCATTTCACATTTAAACAAATCCAATAATTTATGTACTCCATTAAGCATTCAATGTTTTTACACATTTTCTTTGTAATTCATTAAATCATATTAGGTATTAGAAATTCCCCCATCAAGCATGATGGAATACTTTTTATGAGAAAGTAGAGATCAAAGAATTGAGAAGAGTAGAGATTTCAAGAAATTCAACAAGAGTTGTTAATATTAATACAAATTAAGTAGTTTATATTAACTGTTGTAACATAAAGAGCAGCAAAACAAAATTTCATCTGGAGTAAACAAAAATAGTTGGAGTTGCACTTACACATACATAAACAGATTTAGACCTTTATAGTAAAATCTTCCTTTGTACACTACATTCTGAGTAAACACACTATTGTCTTTTAAAAGATTTCCTTGCTGTCTTTAGTAATAGACATCTTAATATTGTTTTTATTATTGATGATGTGATGCTGAAAGCCATTTCAATTGTCAATGTGGAATTCTTAATTCCACACTGATACATTTAAACAAATAAATTGTATGTATGTTAAGATGAGCAATAACACTTTCAAAATAACAGGCTCATTAGATCGTTAACTTTTGATTGGATAATAGAATGTCATGTGGTCACTATGGAAAGATTTTTAAAAAATTTGTTATAGAAGTGACAGGATGAGGCTATCTTTTTTTAAAGTTTAAATTTAATGAAGTTAGTTTAAAATATGCCATTTGCCAAAATATTTAAAAATGAAATTTATGGAAAATTTCCTCATCAAATATGAACTAAATGAGGCACTGACATCATTGCAATGTAGGTGTAATCACTGATCCAAAATCTATAAAATTCTATATTTATTCTATAGCTAATATTTCTGCAAAATAAGTAGCCTATACTTTTACATTAGTATTAAGTATAGAGAGGTCAAATAACTAAAATTTATTTACATTTTCAACTTTTAAATTATTTAACTGTAACCTTGCATTTCTCAAAGATGTTCCAAAATCCTAGAGTTAAAAATTCAAATACACTTACAACTTGGTTTAAGTTAATTTATATCTAATAAAATTAATTTACATTAAAAATAAATTTAAATTCTAACACCTACAGCCAATTGTAGAGACAGAGTTTACATTAAACAACGTTTATTAACAGAACAGCCTATAGACATTGGCTGGCTGAACCACGGTTTAAAATGCATTGCAAAGACGACGATCATCTATTTCTGACTGTTCTCTAAACAAACTTCGGCAAAACATTGGCTCTTACTTACTTCGCTATTACTCCCCTGTTTTAGGAGTTGTTCGGCCAATCGGGTTATTTGTTTGTGACGTCAGAAATGAACCAGAAACCAGCTATATTCTGAAAGCTTGCGGAAATAAAATCTTAAGTCCATCAAAACCGTTGTTCGGCAATTAATGACAATCCTTTTCCATTTTGATATTTAATTTCGTCACCAATACTGTTTAAAATATGAACAAATCCATATTTAGAAAATTTATACAAATTCGAAATTTGTCTTCGGAATAGATTTTTAAGGAATTATTTTGACATTTTATTACTGTTGAAATGAATAATTTTAAATATTTTATTATTAATATTACATTTTTTTTTAAATATTTGTAAATGGATTTCTATAATTATTAAAATTGTCTCGTTTGTTTAACAGTACAATGACTCTGAAATGCATTAACGTTTTATAACTGACACGATACTCAAATTGTAAATAAATGCGTCTGATTTAAATTAATTGAAGTTTTAAGTCTTCTCCCATTTGAATGTTGAAATTGGAACATTTAAAACAAATTTAAAGTATTTAATTTTGTTGATTTTGCTCCAAGCAATTAATTAATGAATAATTTTGTCGATTCGTACCATTTACAACATTTATCAAAGGAATGATATCTGTTTTTATCTTAATTTTTCTGCGAACAAAGCCACCACTCGAATTGAAAAGCCCTCTAAACCTGCTGTCGAGTGAGTCTAGAAAGTAGGTCAAATAACTTGTTTCTAATCGCTGTCTACATTGTGGCAGGAGAGAAACGCTGTCTCGGCAATGAAATTATTCTAAACAGCGGTCTACCCAATCTGTAAATTGCCGTCGGCCTCTAAACGTTGTCTCTGCAATCGGCTCCTAAAATTTAATTTTTTTTAATCTACTTTTGTGGTCATAGCAGTAGGTAATAGGTAATATATTTAATAGATTATGCTTTTTTAAATTGTTAACTAAAAAGTCTAGAAAAGGATAAGAAATTTTATTGTGCTATAGGAGAATAATTTTTTTTCTTTTTTGTAAATACAGATTACAATCATGAAAATTGGTGTCAGGTCATAAATTTTCCAAACTTGATATTGTTTGGATTATTTATTAGACTAATACAAACAATAATGGCATCCATCGAAATAAGATTTGGCATTTATCTTTTCTAATAAAATATAAATAAAATTTTTATTTTTTAAAGTTAGTTTGAAGAATAAAATACTATTCTAAATACTAGAAACAGGTATATCAAAATAATACGGGCTTAGAAATATTACAGAAAGATCAGTAATTAAATTACTATTGCATAAAAACATTTAAGTAGACCTAACTGAACTTAAATATTAAATTTCAAATGAATAAATAAATTTTAAGTTTTTTCAACATAGAAATAAAGTGAGTGATTTGATAAAAATGTAAATCAATTTTATGTTTTGTTTGTATCACTATGTGAATTGAAAATAGAATATTTGATTTTTATTAACATTCTGTTACAGAAGAATTATGTGAAGTTTTTAGGATTTTAGGATGTTTCTTAATATGATTAATATCAATTCATAGATATTGTGAATTGTGTAGATATATGCAGTAAGTAAATATTTATATATTATAAACTGATAATGTTAAAAATAAATTTTAATATTAAAAGGTTTCTTTAAAGGTAAAGACTGCTTTCATTTTACATTGAGGGAAAGCAAATGAAGGTTCAGCAGAATTTTACTTACAAGTAGTGAACAACTTGCTATCCACCAGTTTTGATAAGCTTCAATATAGTGAAACCACATCAAAAATGAGCAGATACATGTCAAAGCTTTTTGTTTATTATGCCTTGCAAATATTAATTTTTGATGTTTTAAAATTTAAAGATTTGTAGCATACAGTTATAAGCTATGATGGAAGACATATTTGAGAGCACTGCATGGCATGGTTTGTTAAAGCATCATTAGTTATGCAGGGTTCCTATGCACCTGGAAAGTCAGAATTTGTCAAAAAGTCAGTGAATTTGTCTCCTTAGCTGCCTTGTTGATCTCGTTTGCTAAATATGGATGACCAATCATAGCCATCTGCAGGTGGTAAGAAGTAATGCTGCAATCTTTAATAAGAAAATACACCAGAATCCATTTTGAGAGCTCGTTCAAGTTCTACAATTACAACCCTTATGGCTTAACCGTAGAACTCGAACATAGCCAGTTGAAAGGAGGTCCACTTCCTGGACATAAATATCAGAGTGGACGAGACAGACGTCCACACATCTGTATACCACAAACCAGGTTCCACCTCCACATACATTCCTGTGGGCTTGTGACCCTTTTCCCTATAAGATCACGGTATACAATGCTTTAATTAAGAGGGCGTTTTCTCATTCATCTACCGTATAAGCATTTGCTGCTGAGCTTTTCATGAGCCCGTGGGAACCCATGGGATGAGCGTGTTGCATCATCCCATGGGTTCCCAAGGCTTACACATAAATTGATTGAATACTATAACCATGCACACTCACAACGCACCATCATGACTGACCTGCTGGCTGACAACTGTCTCCATGTGGTGGAACAGGTCCCTATCACGTTCATTCCATACCTAAAAATACTTTGTACTGAGATTGCCAAGAAATGACGTATTCATATTGCATACAGGAGATATCCTACCATTTTTTACATCCTAGGCAATGGAAAAGACTCTCCCCCAACCAGAACAGACTACCTGGTGTATATAGTATTCAAATTAAGGACAATATATTTGATAGGACCTCGTTTACATCAGATCCACCAAATGCTCCTTGGAGGTCAGAGTACAGGAACATATAGCAGACATACATCATAAGAGAAATACCACCACCCTCTCCACATACACTGCCGATTCGGACATTGTGGTGGCCTTCCACCAGACAAAGCTCATCCGCATTATGTCACATGTGGAACACCTTAAGTGGCTAGAGACCATTCACATCTATAAATTGACCCTCAATGACAACTGCATCAATTTTAAAGATGAGTTGGTCCTGTCATTGGCCTGGCAGGCATTGATGGACTCCAAACTTTAAGTGTCATGTTATGTCAACCATACGAACACGCATGCGTCTCATGTAACACCTTCGAATGTTTCTCGAATTTCCTAAACCATTTGCTCTGATCCATCAGAAATTCCATTTTACACCTGAAGAAGAACTCGCAGCAGTTTGAAAACGTTTGTGGTGAACGTTTTTCTTTTGTTTTTTACAACACACTGATTATAGGTTCTGGGAGTCCAAAAAGATTTTACAATAAATTAGATGTATTTGTTAGAGAAGCTATAGTATAAACTTACACCTATTTCTCTTTATATATAATCATCGATTGTTTTACGTAGGAAAAATGCTTTATTTAAAAAATTTTTAAATTTAACTTTTTGTTAAAATTATGTTGGTGTTTAAAAAAAGTTACTTTTTTTGTTGAAAGATTGTTTTTAAAATTGTGTTTCTAAGTCAAGAGTTAATTTTTAAGCACAGTACAGTACTATTTGTTTATCAAAGAATACTATTTGTTGATTTTATGCTACCTTGCATTTACTAGATTTACATACAAATAATAATGATAAATGATGATAAAATAAGCTCATGTTTTGTTTTTAAATTGCTTATTTTTTCATTACATTGAAGTTGTTGTGGATTCTACCAAACATTTTTCTACAGGATGTATGTACTGTATTTTTTTAATGTGGCAGTCTTTGAAGCAAATCAACTGTGCAAAAAGAGGGATAGATGTACTTAATGTTCACAGTAAATGCTGTTTTATTATGTCAATATTCCACACTGTAAGAAATGTGAGGGTCAGGGAATTTGGACAAAGTTGGTCAGGGAAAATCAGGGAAAGTCACAAAATTCAAAACAAAAATTTGAGTAGGAACTCTGGTTATGTTGACAGCTATAGTTATGATTTTGAATCCAGTTCTTTTTTTGTGTGTTAGTTACTTAATTTTTATGTAATAACAAAAAATAATAATAATAATTTTGCATTTTCTGTGGGTATATGCAAGATCCTGATATCAAATTTTTAAAAAAATTTGAGATAAGAGTCTGTTTGTGGGTACACCTATTGGTAAAACATCCCTGCAGCAGAATAACTTCCCTCAGGAAGGACAACACAAATTTATTGTATGGTTGGATCAATATGGAGGCTAGAATAAAAACAAGAATATTGTGTCTGTATGGTATCATATTGTGTGCAACGTAAAGCTAGTGGAAGAAGTTGCGTGTAAGTTTCCTTATCCAGGTCACACATTACTGGACTGCAACCATGACTTTGGGTGTCATGTGCTGTTGCAGTATATACCTCAGAACAGTGATTTTAATTTGTTGAACAGTGCAAAACAAATAATCCTTTTTGTGTCAATGAAACTTGTCATTAGCTCTCCAGTTTTTAGGAAAATATGCATCAACAAACAGCCTGTGTGTTTTCAGAAAACATAACACACAAAAGTAGGCAGCAACAAACCTGATTGCCTTTTTTTTACCTGTTTCCACAGCATAAATACAGTAGAAAGAAGTAAACATCATTAAAAGAGGAAAAACAAACAACTGAAATGTCTTGTTACTGCTGTATGATGAATGACAAAGGCTTCCATTGGCTAAATTGCAAGACATTTGGAAACTTATGGCCTACATTCCTGCTCAGTATGATGCATATTATGAAGGTTTCCAAGCAAGGCAAAACACTCTGAGGAAACTTGAAAGGCTAACTTTAAACTGTGCAAAAGCTGATAATGAAGATTGTAGGTAGTAAAGTAGAACAATTATCAGATAGTGAGTACAGCAGTGACAACGATTAGTATAATATATCAGGTTCTTGCGTGGACATTAGCAGATTTTCAAATGCACAATAGTTAATAAAGCTTTTATTATGTGGTAATAATTTCATATTTATTCTGGATTATACAAGAGATTTCTTAAATGTTTCATGGTATCAAACAAAACCTTTAATCAAATTATTGCTTGTTGTAGTGACAATATGAAAACCTAAAGTTAGAATATCTCAGAATGTGATTTCTGTGATTCAGATTTTTGTATGCACCCACAGATTTAATAAAATTCTTGTGTAAATGATTGGACAGAAATACATATTTATGGTATGTTTTAATTTTTAAACATACAGGTATTTCTTGCTTAATGCAGGATTTGATTAATGTATGAAATTGTGGCAATTCCTTTATATGTGTGGCAGAAGTTTTAATTTACAGAGCTTTACCAGCTATCTTTACTTAACAATATATACCATATTTTGATATATATGGTAGGATCAAGGGATTAATTGTATTAATCAAGGAATATCTATACTTATTATGATGGCTTACAAGTTGTTGGACAATACATGTCATAAGAGCGCATAAAAAAGCATTTGAATTGTCTCATTTCTTGAATGGATGGAAAGCATATCTTTTTTGTTTACATTGTTAAATATGTTTTGTTGTGTAATTAGTTTCAAACCATGCATATTTTATCATATCTTCAAAAACTGGAGAGGATAATTGATGATGAATAAAGAGATGGTTTTTTTTTGCATTGCTCCTAATAGATAATTGGTGTTTATTCTGCAACTAGTGATAGTTCCTATTTATGCTCTTACTTCAAAATGAAAACAAAACTGCTAGAAATATGAAGGTTAAAGTGATTTTCTGATTATTTATACTTTTATTAAATATGCAAATGCAAAAGTTATTTTTTTTATTAAGTAAAAATTACATAAGTAACACATTCAAAACAGAACTATAGCTGGTCACCATTAATTAATGATTTTTTAACAAACTGTGTTACAGTGCTCTCAAATGTGTTCAATCATGGCTCATAACTATATGCTACAAATCTTTGAATTTCCAAAAATCAAAAATAAATATTTTCAAGACACATTGGATGAAAAACTTGGACATGTATCAGCTAATTTTTGATGTAGTTTCACTATGTCCCAACTGATCAAAAGTCAGTGGGTAGTTAGCAGTGTCCTCTCCTTGTTAGTAAATAATTTGTTATTAAGGGAGATGATGATGATAAAGTGTATATCATTTTTTTATCCTGTGTTCAGCTTATAGGTCTGTTGAAAATTACATTATAAGTTGTTTTTTTCTCCATTGTGAGCAGTTCTTTATTTGGACTACTACAAAAGTACTTGGATATTTTTTTGGCTAAATTGATCTAAATATTCAGCTGTCCAACATTATTACATCTATCTAGGTTCATGCTACTTAGAGCTAATGTTGAATTTCTTGTTCAATTCTCCTTTAGAGTAATATTTGCTGTTTCTTTGTTCTTTTTCTTTTGATCAATGGTTTCTACTTATAACAAAATCTGAGATTTAGTAAAGAACTGGGTCTAGTCAGAGATTTTTATTTTAATATTTACTTCTCTGAGAAGTTGAACTGTTGTTGAAAGGTCCTATATTCATTTGAGAGTTTTCTTAAAGGAAATATATCCACTGAGATGGAAAGCAAAATTGCTACATTTCATAGTTCATGTCTCTGCTTGCATCCCAAACCTTTTATGATATTTATAGAAATAAACTTTTTAGTGAAAAAAATGCTTGTTTTTCTTAATATTATAGTAGTCAGTATTATTATTGTAATTTTTTTGTCTGTCATATCCAGACAGACATTCAACGATTGGAATCTTAAATTCTTTTTTCATAATTTTCTATGATTCACAAAATAAAAAATGCTAATGTATTTTGTTTTTCACGTTCACGTTGTATTTCCTCACCTAGAAAATATTGTTGATTATATAATGAATGATAATGTATAAGTCAAAGAAAATAAAATTTATAAAATGTAACATTTTAAAAATGTTTATAAATTTTATGAAAAATAGCAAAAATCAAAGTAATTTACAATATTTGATAGAACTTTGTTATATTGACTATTTTATATACATTTGATGGTTAAACTATAATATTTTAATAATTTAATATTGTATATATTTATATTTTTAGCAATGGAAAAATAATAGTGTAAAAGAGCAAGAAAATACACCACTTTATGAAAATCCAAAGTTAACAATTAAATCAATAGCAGAAAAAATTGCTGCATTAGATCGAGAAGTCAAATATTTGTTAAATAAAGCAAGGTTTGCCGTTCCAAAAACAAAACAAACTGAAGAAAGTAACAAAGATACTTCAAAAAATAATACACAAACAAATGAAACAGAATCTACAGGTAATCTATTATTTAAAAAATAAATAATTAAAGTTTAAATTTAAAGTATAAATATGAATTTAGATAGCTTGGATGCTTATTGCCATTTATTAATTTTAAAATTATTTTGAAAAATTTTTAATGTTTGTTACTCAATTCAATTAGATCTGAGATGTTTTAGAATAGTTAGAGATACAGTTCCATTTTAAAATTATTTAAGTTAAATTAGGTTAAGACTACTTTAGTCCTAATTAAATTGAGGACTAAAGTAATAGGTACATTAGTTCTTATTTTAATGAAATTTTTAAAAATTTAAAGTGGCAAATAACTTTAATGGCATTCAAGTGACAAATAATACATAAATTCATCTTGACTATTGTATTGTAGGATTACAAATTTTTTTATGTATTGAAGTATAGGATGAAATAGTATAAAGAATCTATATATGAATAACTAATTATTAAAATGTTTATAGAACAAATTTTACAAGTAAAACACCAAAACTGTTTTTGGGACAAGACTATGTCTTGAAGACTCAGAGCTTTGACTGTGCACCGTTTTCTAATTAAAAGAGAAAAATGAGCACTCTCCAATGAGGAAAAGTTGACACTGGTACTTGGGTTCCTGGCATAGATTACAGTGGGCTTCATTGCCACCGTGGTTATGTTGGGTTGCATTGTCAAGGGCCTGTTCTTGGCTATGGTAAGCAGGATCACTTTGACGCTCACAGCAGGTCTCATTCTTATTCTCCAATCTTCTTTGGTATCGCTGGTTTTGAGCATGATCATTCAGACTTCGCCAGCCTCAGCCACAGTCACAACCACGAGGTTGTCCACGATGCCTTTTTGATAAAATTAACTTATCCAATGTCGAAATTTCTCTCCATTGTGTGTCACCCCATGTTGAATTTTTGTCGATGCCTAATGAAACTTTCCCATTTTTATAATAATATATTAATAAATGTAAAAACAAAAAAAAATTATATTTTGGAAGTTAGTTTTAATATAATATAATTACTAGTTATCTAGTTTAAAAAATGTTCTGATGTTGAAACGAGATATCTCGGATCAACCAGTCAAGGTCAGCAGGTTGCAACCAGAGATATGTCGAGAATAACATGGGACAGGTAAATGGGTTTTTTCAAAGATTCGTTTGTCAAAATTCGATTTTGCAACATTCTCATTTCGAACTTCCCAACAAGCAATGCATGTGCAATTCTTGCACTAGAGTGAGAATTGCACATGCATTGCTTGTTGCATAGTAAGTGTAGAAAGAGTGTTGCCATTTTATATTTTATTTTCACTTGATTTTCAGTCCTCTGAGTACCTACAAGTCTGGTTTTTTTTATGTGCTCATGATTTCGGCACCTAATACTCTGTGTGAAATTGCAACTACTGACATGTACTCCTTCATACCTCTAAAGGCTGTTATACATGGTAAGGAAATCCTTTGAGGATTAACCGTGATTTTTTTTTCTATCTATTCATTTTTAAATAAAAATAATTCTTTATACGTTGGGAGATGTTTTAATAAGTTTTGTAAATTACTATGTTCGATCCACCTAGTTATATCAGAGTTTTTTTCGTTTGTTTAGCACATCCTTTGAGGATTTCCTTACCGTGTATACCAGCCTTAAGGTGGGCAGCCTTTGATGGCACCACAATTTTATAAACAAGACAGTCTTGTCAATAAAAGAGAGCACAACTAAAAAGATGAAATTAATTTCTAAAATTGAAACGGAAAAAAGTGGCACATGCATTTAAAATAACTAACAAAACAAAAAAGACTTCAATGTAATTAAATCACAGTAATTATTTGAATATTTTTTGAAGCATATTACTGCTGTAATAATAGAAATCTGTACTGCCTTTTCAGGAAGCCAAATGTATTGTATATGTTTTTTTGTATATAAAAACATAAAAAATTAAAACTTTAATTTTGTTTCTTTTGTAATTATGTTTTATTTAGATTAATTTTAAGTACTATCTTAATATTTTAATTTAAATTTAATCTGTTATTCAGTTCTGTAACATTCAAATAATGTCATTCCAAGAATTCTCTAACTGAAGTAGGCCTACAAAGGTTAAAAATATTTTTACTTATGCTAAAACATTTGGCTGCCTTAAAAGACAGTGTGGATTTGTTTTTCACTAGAAACTTAATTATAATAAAACAGAAGAAATGTGTGCTATTACAATTTTGCTTTGTTACTAGAATTCTAAAATTTACTAAAATATTTCAATATCATAATTAAATTTTCAATAAGCTTATAGTTAATGATTCTTTATGTATAGAATCATGTATTGTTTCCTACCATATACCTTATAATTTAAAATGCAGTGTTATAGTGTAACATAAATATCAATAGAAAATGATGCTTTAGTAACAAAAACTATGATTTTTCTTTTAAATATAAATTTAAAAAATTAGAAATTTACTTCTGTGTTTGTTGTTATTTTTCTATAGATATTGATAGTCATCATCTATATACATAATAATTATTTAGATTAGTTTTATATATAGACTCATTGCCATAAAAATTGGTGCACCAAGAAGGAGTTATCATATCGCTGCAAAACTTGGCATAGAGATAAGTCTCAAGCAGGTATGGAAGCAATTAGTTATAGCATGATGGCTCATTGCAAAATGCTAGTAGAGGCATTAAACTGCATAATCCTTGGCCAATAAAAAAAAGCACGCAAAGGCACCCTGTCTGTAGTTTACCTGTTTCAGAGATATGCTGTATCACTAGAGAAGGCCTTTACATTGCAATCAAAGACTAAATCAGGAACTGAGTTTGAGAGAGGAAGGATCATTGGGTTGAGAAAAGCTAGATGATCATCTGGCTGAATAGCCTGCCACCTAGGCCATTCTGACAACATTGTATATATGTATTATGAAATAAAAAAAATATTTTATTTCATAATACATATATACAATATTAAATAATATAAGTGGTCATCGTCAAATTTACAATGTTGATATTTTTAGAAACAAAATCTGAAATTACTTTTCAACTAATTACGTTAAAGTTATGAGCTGTCAAATCCAATTCTCTAACATTTGACGAATATCTTTTACTTTCTCAGATAACCTAACACATTTTAACAAAATAACAGATGATTGTACAGTACATTTAATAACAAAGATTTTAGGAATATCTGTCATCCACATTTACCAGTTTTGAAGAACTTCTGTGTTTGATTTGTTGAACTAATCCACTTGCATCAATATCTATGTTTGTAAATAGGATCAAAATAATTGGGAGTATGCTTTCTCTCTATTTTAGGCATTGTTTTTTGGAGGTTTGTCATTTTCATTCTTTTGAATATTAATATCTGTTTTATTTTCTGAATTATTATTTTTAACACATGTTACCTTAAATTCATCTTCAGATTTTTCTAAATTATCTTTTGTTTCTTTTTTTACATGTGAAATGCTATCATNTCATTTTCATTCTTTTGAATATTAATATCTGTTTTATCTTCTGAATTATTATTTTTAACACATGTTACCTTAAATTCATCTTCAGATTTTTCTAAATTATCTTTTGTTTCTTTTTTTACATGTGAAATGCTATCATCTTTGCTGTTTTCAATCTTACAGTATTTAACTGAATAGAATTCACTACTTTATCTTCGATTACATTTACTGAATTTCTTTATCAGTTTCTTTTAACTTTGTAGTTTTATAAAACCAAAATTCTAATAACCTTTGGCAATGACAACACTATAAATATTTTCTTTCACCAGAGACTTTCCTCCATCCTGTCAATGCTAATATAATAGCAGATTGAAGGTACAGTGGTGCCTCGTATAACATACGCCTCGAATAATGGACGCTGCAAACAATGAACTTTGTTTGGCTGTTACATGACTCGAGCAACAGATTGGCTGCGAACAATGGACTTTCCGTTTGGCAGTTATGTGAAGCGAACAACGGACTTTCTGCGAACAAGTGTGAATGATGTTTCCAGTCTTTTGCCATTGCCAATGACAATCTGCTGTTTTTATAATATATTAGTATTATTAGAATATATTATTAGTATATCTGAAGTACAGAGCTCNGTTTCCAGTCTTTTGCCATTGCCAATGACAATCTGCTGTTTTTATAATATATTAGTATTATTAGAATATATTATTAGTATATCTGAAGTACAGAGCTCCCATTGGGATTCGGCTTGCTCCCTTGTTTATTACAGTAATACCCCGAACTTACGCGATAGGTGGGACCGAGCAATAACCACGTAAGTCAAATTCGCGTAAGTCGGGGTATAATTTCGCAATTTGTGTAAAATCCAAGTCGGATGTATGTAAGCTAATAAATGTTCTCGTTAATCTTATCTCGTCATTTGATTTGTTCATGGTTACAAGAAATCACCATATAAAGTCTCTCAAGTCTCTGTAGATATAACAAACACAGAAATAAATAACACAAAATAAATTGTAGGTATGTGTTGATTCTGCGCAACACGTCCGAACATGTAAGCCGAACAATAGTGTGGGGATGTGAGTAATCAAGAGTGCGTGGCACTCAAACAAAAGACGAATCGACGAGATTTGAAAATTGCGTAACTCCGAGTTCGCGTAAGTTGAGGTATCACTGTACGTACACTTGAATAAATGTAAATAACCTGCACTTCGGTGCAGGTTATTTACATTTATTCAAGTGTTGTGCAAATCATGGCTTCTAAAGAAACAGAAAGGTGATTTCAATTGAAACAAAGCAAGAAATTTTCAGGAGGAGTGAAAGTTGACATGGACTTCCTTGTCAAATGGGGAGAGGTTCCGGAGTTTACCAACACTCATTATCCAAACACAGTTGAGGCCAACAGGATTAATGATTCTACAATGACACCCTTGCCCATCATTTCCAACAGATGTTGAAGAAGAGAGAGAAACAGACCACCTTGGACATGTTTTTCAAGAAGCCAGCTGCCAAAAAACAAAGGATGGAACAAGAGGAGTTGACCCTGCAAGCTCCAGTAGCCTCTCCTGAATCTGACTCTGATTAAAAAACAATAAAAAGAGACCTGCTGCAATGTGTAAAAAGTCTGTATCTGTATGAATGTGTGAAGAAAGTGTTCCTCCACGTCCTCCTCACATCATCTGACTACCCGGCATAATTGGTGACTGCTCCATTTTCATTTTTTTTTTTTTATGTACAATATGGTTATTTTATGCTGCAGAACAAATTATATGTTTTAACATGTATTTCTATGGGAAAATGCATTTCATATAACGGACTTTTCACTTAATGGATGTGCACCTGGAATGGATTAAGTGCGTTATACGAGGCACCACTGTATATATCTAATTCTTTATGAAGTAATTGTGAAAGACAAGTCAAATCATTTTCAGTGATGTCCATTTCTAAAGTCTCATTTTTTATTAAAGGTAACTCTTCTTTTACTTTTAGAAGTGTTTCCAAACAAATCATAATTTCATTTAATGCTTGCTTCTTATCAATTGGTACAATATGAACAGTTATTTGGACAAGGTGCTACTGGCCAAGGACAATGTTTCTTATGAGATGTTTGCAATGATTTTATTATTTCATTTACACAATCATCATACACATTACTCTTCCAAAGAACTGGTAACTTTCCACAGATAATTTCATTACATGTTACACACTGAATAAGATCTTTTCCAATACATTTCTATCCATACTGAGCACAAGCAGGAGGAGAGCGACTAAAAGGTTTCAGTCTCCAGTTTGATTCTACAATTAAAAAAGATGCAACTCTTTGAAAATTCCTTCCAACTATTATAGTTTGCAATGTCATTTTCTGCACAAAGCAATTCCTTCAAAATGTCATTATGCTCACTTGTAGACGACATTTATTAACAAAGATTTAATAATTAGTTAAATCTACTCACTAAATATATCAGTATATTTACAAATGTAAACTTTTTAAATAATTCAAATTAATTTTACAGTCTAACACATTAGAACAAAGCAACACTTCAATAATGACATTAACACTGTGAGGTGGTGTTGGGACCACTGGACGAGAGAGAACTCACACACAGAGTCAACTATATCATTGTCTGCTATTGGGATATGAGTGGTGTTGTCATTACAGGCCTGTGTGTTTGTCCATATAATTTCAAGACACCTGGGTGAGGAACATTTGGTATCATGGTGGCCATTACTTATGCTGCCATTGACCCCACTCACCATTGCCTCCATTTGGAATGGGGTTGCTCCCAATGGGATTGAACTGCAACAAAATGGAGCCAGGATCAGTTTGGTCTCTGTGTTCATGTCTGGAGGCTCCATGGTGAACGCTTCAATCCTACCTACACTTTGAACAGAACATTTCCCCACTGCTGGGGTGCCATCACATACAACAGCTGATCGCCTCTAGTAGTGATCCAAGAGACCATGATAACCCAGCTGTATGTTAGCAAATCCTACAACCACTTGTGTTGCCTCTCATGGCAGGGCTCCCAAGAGTCATTTTCCAACAGGACAATGCTCAACCACATAAAAGGTTGTCACAGGATTGCATCTGCCATGTAGCCACACTTACCTGGCAGGCCAGGTAAGTGTGGCTACATGGCAGATGCAATCCTGATTTGTTACTGATTGAACATGTCGGGATCACCTGGGACATCAAGTTGGACAGCCTATGAGTTTGAAGTAGAAGATGCTTACAGCAATTGTGGACTGTGATCTGCTGGGCATCATACAGCACTTGTGATATGAATAAGCATGAGGCATATATCATGTTTTCATGCTAGAGGTGACCCAACAGGGTACTAGAACCTTTTTTCATTTGTAGTTTTTTCCTGCAATAAATAATCCTTTTGCTTTCATTTTGTGATCACTTACTCATGTCACTTAGTGTGAGATCTAAAGGTTCTGAGAAAGATCATTTTAATTAAAATAATAACTTGGAGAAAAGAATTAAAATAACAGAAAATAATATTTTCAACTTCAACAAGATTTTATCTAAAACCGGAGGAAACATCAGAATTTTTGAAAGGAAGTTGATTTCCTTTCCCAGGCTAACTCAGGATGAGTCAAGTTTTTGCACATGTTACGGAAGACCAAATAAAAGGGCCATTTTCCTGCCTTTCAGGGCAGTCCATCAAAACAAGGTTTGCCATATGTAAGAAATCGGAAATTCGTTAAGAGGCAGTCCATCAAAGGAAGGTTTGCCATACTGAAGAAGAGAACTAGCCATACAACAGAAGCAGTCCATCGAAACAAGGTTTGCCATACGTAAGAAATCAGAAATTCGTTAAGAGGCAATCCGTTAGAAAAAGATTGCAATGCAAGAAGTCCTACATACGCAGTCCGCTGAAGAAGATATTGCCATACAGAAGAATCCAAATACAAGATAGACTATACATCCGAAGAAGTCATCATTCAAAAGATGTTAAACTAAATGTACAGCATACAACAAGATTGTTGAAAGGAAAGTAGATTCAAAGGAACTTCCCATAGAAATTAGAAGAAGAGAAATATTTAAAGAAGGCAGAAGATCCTCATGCAGAAACAGATACGAAAAATACGGTGAAGGTAATATAAGCTCTGAATAGATCGATGTAAATTCTCTCACGCGTTAGGTAGAAATAAGATAGTTTGAGTTAGATTTAGATATAGGTTAGATTCATCGTTGTATATTATATTATTTGATTTATTAAATATTTTGATTTGTTTTATAAAATTGTTTGGTTCCTATTAGACATTCATTTTCATTAAGTTCCCTTCGCTCTTCCTATTCACAAGTTTAAGGATAACGCGTGTTAATCCGCATGTAAAACAATTGATTAACTGGTGTCGGGAATCCTGACGAGGAGAAGGTGATTATGCAATCATCTAATTCCGCTTTTAAATTAACATTCAAACGGTAAATGAACTTATTGGTTAAAGCCCTCCACACACGATTTCTTTGAGTAGAAAAACCATCCTTGTTAGACAAACAAATGGCTATTCTAGAGAATAGTTGCCGAGTAAGTGATACTAGAGTTTTACCACTCAGTATCCACGGCTGAGCTCCTCACATTAGTCACATGTATGATTTCACTTGATTTTGACACCACCTTCTTGGTGTGCTAATTTTTATGACAATGAGTGGTGTACATATATATATATATATATATTATATACCACTCTCATTGTCATAAACACTATATATAAAATAAAAGATAATTTGTTTTTTTATAGAGGAAACACAATCTGATATAGAATCTGAAAAAGAAATGGAACCAAATGAAAAAGAAAACATACCAGAAAATTTACAGATGGAAGAAAATGTTGCTGATATTACAGGCAAGTTAATTTTATATTTTAGTGCATATAATTTAATTACATTAATGACTCAATGTAATGTAGCTCTTGATGTTTAAAAAATTCAAATACATTGTAATGAGGCTGCATTATAGGAAAGAACCTTTTCTATCCCATACACAATCCACATCACATATGTGACTGTTACTGTTTATCAACTTACCTTTTGTACTCAGATATACTCTACTGTTCATTTTGTTGTGGCTTTTTCATATTAAGAATCCAAAAGATAAGCTTGTTGTTTTACATAATGGCTAGGTATATTGACTAGCAAAATATTGCAAATTGAGACAATTGATTTTGAACTGTTCCATTAACTGCCACTTAGTAACTTACAGTAAAATGAAATAAAAGCAGCAGGATCTGAAGGAGTACAATGATAAATTGAGGTTCAAAGCTGTCTGTGTTCTTTTGAAGTATATATTGTATTGAGCAATTAATGTAACTTACAAAAATCCTAAATTTAAAGTTAAGATTTAGAAATCCAAAGTTTGGTATTTGTTATTACAGTTGCTAATCATATTACAATAATTTGCTACAGATTTACATCTAATAATTCAAAATTAAAATATGTACACAGATTACTGTAAAATAAATAATTTAAAATAAGTTTTAAGAAGATGCTTCTAAAAAGAAATGTTTTAATAAATTGTTACCTAGTCACTTTCCACATTAAACAATTTAAATTATTATTAATTTCAGAATAAATATTTTGTCTTGACTAGAAGGAATTTTTGAAAATTTAAATTTATATGAGTTTAACTTCTCAAACAAAAGTACATTAGAAAAAACTTTTTACTAATAAAAATTTAAACTCAAATTGGATATACATAAATAACACTACATAAAAAAAACCAATAAACCAATATCCATCAAGAAGCTACAAAAATCTATGAAACATCCCTGTTTGAATGATCATTGTTGGACCAAAAGATCTTTACAGTTCAAATGCAGATGTTAAAACAAATGGCTTGAACAGAAGAATTACATAGGATAGGGGATCACTGTCCACATGCTAAAAAGGGGGGACAAAAGAGAGAGGAGGTTGTAAGACTGTAATGGATTGACTTCCACACAGGAGGAGGAGTCTACATCTCTAAAGTTGATAACTACATTTTTTCTTGCAGCTTTATAAATTTTTAACTGTTCTAAATATTTAAATATCAGGGTCAGTGATAAAGGTTGCTAATGCTGTTTTGGTAAGCTCCGATGGACATCCAATATTCTCTTAGGTGGGTATTCAAATGTCACCCTGTAGCACCTAATATTCTAAGTTGTGGTTAACTCTGTGATATGTAACAGGGATAGGATATATACCAGAGAGGAGGTTCATATCTGGATAGTTATAGTATTGCAGAGGAGGGTGAAAACTGAGGGACTTCTTCTGAAAGCTAATCATAAGTTATTATTTTGGGCAATCTGTAAAGGGCAGCTATTTTTTTGTTGTTTGTAACAGCTTTATATATGGTATCATGGGAGCAATTGTTAGGCATGACAGTAATGGTGGAGGAATAAAGATGAATTAGACTTTTTGATGGTGTTTGGAGAATACCCATGTTGTCTGGCATACTGGGTGAATGTTTGGAGTCCCTAATTTGTTAAGCCTTCATTCATTTGTCTGCTGGACAATGAGAAATGAGGAAAGTGCCTGCCCTTTACTCATTTGTCATTGTCCATCAGACAAATCAGTGAAAGCTCAACAAATTAGGGCATTGAAGCTGGCCATCTTGAAGAAAAAAGGATTGAGAAATGGGGCAGGGATGAAAATCAATTTCTTTGTATTGATTTTATGAATGTAATCTTGAATACGGGTTTTGTGCTGCCCCAAGATAAGAATGTTGTGGATGTAACATGCATAAAGGAGAATATGGTGGTCAAAGGTGGGAAGGATGGAGGCCTCAGGTTGTCAAATGTTCAGTTTGCAAAGTGATTTTGGTAGTTTCTTGCTGGGTATTGATTTTGTGTAGTGCTTATATTTGCATAAATATAAGTATATAGTATATACTTATATTTGCTTAAATAGGTGTATATACTAAAAAAATTAAATATGCCTTGGCAGTTGTATTTAAAGTTAATGTGAGTTTCAATATAGAATAAGCTTTGAAAAAATTTTATGAAAGTACAATCATTATTTTGCTTTTTATTCAGTGAGATACAGTTGAAATTTTTCAATTTGATAACCATGTACAAGTTTTTCTCTGAAAAATCTGATGCATTCTCTTAGGTTAGATATAAAAACTAAACAGTAAACAGTGACTACAGTTAATATTAATAAATTTCTTGTAATTTAAAATTATACAATATTTTTACTTCAGTTAGCATTTACTGTATACAAGAGGAAATATGTAATTAAGTTAGAGCCCCCAAAAAAGATAAGAAAATATCAAACCTTAGAACATTTATTTTTCAACAATCCCTATTAACATTTATATACTACTTCAATGCTCTCCTGTAGGGTGACAGATTTTTTTGGCAAAACCAGGGAGACACGTCAATTGTCATTTTTAGGTTACACAATAGTGTATCAGTACTGTCAAATGGGTATTGTGCTGTGCATACACATGACTGAGATCTAAATATTTTAATTTTGATTGAGCTCATTCACTTCAATCAAATAACTCTCCTTCAATAAGGTTTAATCTGTAGCTATTTACTTTTGGTGATTTTTTTTTTTTTTTTTTTTTTTTTTTTTTTTTTTTTTTNATATTTTCATTTAATAAATCTATATTTTCTGACAGAATATATACTAACATGATTATAATTAACTTTTTATCAGGGGTATTTCATATCTGTGTTAGTTATTTGCATCAAGGTTAATGTATAATTATTAATTTTTTTGAGTAAATTTTACTATTCCAATGTTTTTCTTTATAATTAAGCTTAATCCCCCATAGGGTCATCCTGGACCTTTTGGCCTCTGTGCAGCTGATGATATAATGATATATTCTTTGTAGTTTTTAATTAATTCATCATTCGGAAAAACCATCCAGATTTCTGTTATACCCAAAATATCAGAATCAGCAAGCAACTGTAAGAAGTCATTACTTGTGTGAGCTTTTGGACTCTTTTGGGAAATTTTAGAAGCTTATTAATTTTTGGCATTATTTTCTTTTTCCTCCTGTTTTGTTGGTGTTTGACCTTTTGACCCATCAGTGTACTGCATCACTTCGAAAGGTGACCTTAGAAATGTCTTTGAAAGTTCTCTCCTCACCACAGCTTATTTAGTTTCACTTTAGTTACGGGTACAAATAAGTAGCCAATTAGCAAGAATCTCCACCGGTTACATGCTAGAGGGGAGCAAAGAGGGGTCAACTACAAGGGTAGACCATACGATGGGAAACCATATCAAATTACCGATGATGGCCAGTTATCACCCAAGTGATGATTGTTTAATTGTCAGCGGTTGGGTCGGTGCAGCAGCTGATGTTTTGACTCTAGCCACCTGTCGCCATTAATTTAAGATGACAGCTTTCTCACGTACAAAATCAAAAGAACCGTTCTATTAACGTAAGCAACGCTAGCCGCAAAGGCGATTGCATCAGATTTTTCCCTGATAATTCCCATGCCGGGCTGTGTATAAAAAGGGGTTGCACTTGCACCTCTGGGCAGACATCCGAGACAGACTTCATCAGAGGCGAATAGCCAGGGGTGGACAGCCATGAGGACACAGATGAGGCAGATAGCCGAAGCAGACACAGCCCAAGCAGACAGCCAACAGAAACCCTCAGTGGACAGAACCGAGCAGACACCAGACCCATACCGCCATACCGTCTGTCGCACCATACCGCCATCCGAGAGAGACTACAATTAGGAACTGCCGATCCCAGAGCGTTTTACCAACGCCCAATATGATGAGATCGAATCCCATGAGGTAAACCCTTGACAGAATTCTCTCTCTCTCTCTGACACATCTCTCTTAGAGAGGTTTATCTCGTTCTTTAGTTAGACTTCGGGAATAGAATGTAGGCGTTACATTGGGAAGACAAATCATTGTCGCGAGATAGATTAGATTTTTGATTATTTCTATTTGTGTCATTTTTGTGTTTGCCTTCTTTTATGTATAACTTTATAGGTGTTTATTAAATATATGCTATTTTTATTATTATAGGTGTTTATATGCTATTTTTATTTAACCTGTGTAATTATTCAGGAACCTGTTGACGTACTCACGGACCTCCCCACTCACATTTTTTTGCCCTCCTTTATAGCCATCTCTGACCGAGCTGCCAGTAAGCAGGGAGAAGCTCGACACTCTACCCCCTCAGTTCTGACACTTGTAATTTTGCTTAGCTGACCCTGACTGTTCCAATTCGTTATATTTAAATGAATACAGTGGAACCTCGGTATACGACCTTAATCCGTTCCTGATGTTTGGACTTATACTGAATAGGACATATACCGAACCAACCTTTCCCATAAGAAGTAATGTAAAAATGATTAATCTGTTCTCATGTTAAAAAAATGGCTGGTTTGAAACACCTCGCTTTCCTGGCTAGTTCCTGCTTGATTATTCATGAGATCAGCATGTATCTTTTTAGCTTTCTCGCAACTAAATGGTTGTGATACGCTGTCTCTAGCACACTGTTTTTCAGCTATCCAAAGCAAAAGCAATTTCTTAACATGGTTTAATGTCTTCGGTCTCTGTTTAGAAATTGTTTTAACCCCTTTTGCAACTTGTTTCTTCTGATTCTATGTCACGACTTGGTGCATTTATAGACACTTGGCAAATAATTCCATCACCTACATTTACTTCTTACAGAAACGCGTTTCGGGCTTACGAAACGCAACGTTAGCAGATTTAATAATGTCTTCATTTTTCGTGACTGTCGATATCGTAGTTCTCGGAATACGATATGCAACAGTTAAAATCTCAAACACTCATGCCACCTTCATATTTCTCAACAATTTTTTTTTTCAGTTCCATTATGATTCTAGTCATTTTTTTAATTTTCTGTTGCTTTTCATTTGCCTTTTTGCAAGTCATGATTAATAAAAATAATAAAATTTTACTTACAAATTAAAATCAGAAGAAATTTAACAAAGTTATAAGCTGTGGCACCGCTAACGTCTAGTCCGGTCTAGTATACCTATAGTGCTACTTGTTCATAGATGGC